TCCGACTGTAAAATATAAAAAAGGGGGCGGCAGTCGCGACACAATGGAGGAGGCAGCTACGCGAGTAGACGCGTCTGAGAGGGGAAACGTCCGCCGTGGAGACGGAGCGATTTTGATCAGCTCGAGTGGAGCCGGGCGGATCGCTACCGCAGGATTGTGAGAGACGGGGGTGGGGGGACAGCCTACGGAGGCCTCAATCCAGCAGTGGAATGGGCGTGGCCATTGATGCAGCGTGCACGCCAAGGTGTGTACAACAGCTGAAGTTCATGAGCCAGGTTCGGAGCGAATGCGTCTCCTTACTGGGAAAACTCCACGTTCCCGTGACGGAGGCAAGTCAACCCGTCTCACAAAGGAAAGGTGAGTTGAACCCCTGACCAGGGCCAAACTGTTACTCTTCCAACCGTGAGTCGGGCAATCGAACTACAACGATTTGCCACTGTCACCAATCCCCGAATTGCTTGCGAACCTGGGTCTCTATTCCATTTAATAATCTATTATTTACTTTTGGCACTCCGGGTGAATGTAGCGGCCTCTAGTGGCTGCAGGGGAAAAGGGAACTTGTTACATACGACATGTACAAATCTAAAAACATGGAATTTCTTGCGCGCGCACAAGGTTTGATACTTTATCACGAGGGACGTACCCATAACACCTGTTATGCACAGTGGTCACCCATCCGAAGCACTACCCAGGATTCAAACCTGCTCAGTTTCTCAGTTGATCTGGTCATAGGCCACACGCATGTAATTTACATGACATCAAAACTCAAATCTAGGCAACAGCGAGTGCAGCAAATTGCCCGTGAGTTCACGACGTCTGCTCAAGTCCATCCGTTGATAATTAATATTACTTCTAGATTTGAAGCTTTCGTGACTGCAAGGATTCATACTCTTAGTTCTTTCGGTAAAGTCACGTAGGTAAAAAATGAAATTAAAATTAATTAAAATTTTTATAAAAATAAAATAATAAAATCACGACGTTTCGGAGGCAACACAAGTCTCCGTCATCAGGGGGGTGTGTACATTGTGATTAATATTGCGATGAACAAACCCAGCCAACTCGGTTTTCGATTCCTGCCCATTGTCAACATCTGTGCGAACCGGTCCCTGGGACTCCCCTAGGAGCACCTGGTGCAGTGTGTAAACTCTTCAATGGGGCGACAAAGGTGGGCGGGCACGGGATTGAACAAAACTCACCAATCAAACATCCGCGATGCTGGCCTTAATAGGTGCTCGCTAACAGGACCTGCCCCAACAGTCTGTACGGCTGTAGGGAGATCTTTGTCTTTGTACTGTGGTGGTGTGCGTGCACTTACCTCGTGACTCTCTGTTGTGTTTTTATTGAGGTGGGGAGCGATAGTGTAGCGGTTAGCGCGTTGCGCTATGAATCTGGCGACCCGGGTTCGATTCCCACTCACGGCCAACACCAGTGACGATTATCTGAACCGGTCCCGGGCCCTCCCCTAGGTGGACTCAGCCTCAAATGAGTACCTAGTGCGATGTGTAAAAATTGCCACTAGGGAGACAAAGGCGGCCGGGCGTGGTGTTGGCCACCCACCCCCTCGTGTGCCGTGCCGGCCTTCATAGGTGCTCGTTAACAGCACTTGCCCCTACAGTCTGTTAAGGCTATACGGGGGGTCTTTGTCTGTGTGTGAATAGCTGGCGTATCTGCCAGCCAAATCAAGTAAGTCAACCCTTGGCACCGAGGTCTGTCCTGTGACCTCCTGTCAACGAGAATTCGACACTTCACGTGGCCTCAAAGTGCACCTGGCCTGGTACAGGCGCCGTGGTGACATCACCGTCACTTAGTGACAAATGGAGGTGTTATTGTTGTCTGTGTATGTATTGTGGTTGAGGTGTGTGTCTACAATGTGGTGGGGTGTCTACCTTGTGGCTGTCTCCGCTGTCTGTGTTGTGGTTGAGGTGTGTGTCTACAATGTGGTGGGGGTGTGTCTACCTTGTGGCTGTCTCTGCTGTCTGTGTTGTGGTTGAGGTGTGTCTACAATGTGGTGGGTGTGTACCTTGTGGCTGTCTCTGCTCTGTCTGTGTTGTGGTTGAAGTGTGTGTCTACAGTGTGGTGGGGTGTGTACATTGTGGCTGTCTCTGCTGTCTGTATTGTGGTTGAAGTGTGTGTCTAAAATGTGGTGGTGGTGTGTTTACCTTGTGGCTGTCTCTGCTGTGTTGTGGTTGAAGTGTGTGTCTACAGTGTGGTGGGGTGTGTACATTGTGGCTGTCTGTGTTGTGGTTGAGGTGTGTGTCTACAATGTGGTGGGGTGTGTACATTGTGGCTGTCTCTGCTGTCTGTGTTGTGGTTGAGGTGTGTGTCTACAGTGTGGTGGGGTGTGTACATTGTGGCTGTCTCTGCTGTCTGTGTTGTGGTTGAGGTGTGTGTCTACAGTGTGGTGGGGTGTGTACATTGTGGCGGTCTCTGCTGTCTGTGTTGTGGTTGAGGTGTGTGTCTACAGTGTGGTGGGGTGTGTACATTGTGGCTGTCTCTGCTGTCTGTGTTGTGGTTGAGGTGTGTGTCTACAGTGTGGTGGGGTGTGTACATTGTGGCGGTCTCCGCTGTGTCTGTGTTGTGGTTGAGGTGTGTGTCTACAATGTGGTGGGTGTGTACATTGTGATTGTCAAGGTCATGTGTCTGTTCAGATGAGACTCCCGACTCATGGTGCTGTTAGTATTCAACAGTCATGTACGGCTGTAGTGGGGGGTGAAATCTCGAGTCTTTGTCCTCAAATGACAGGAAACCCAACAACAGTCCGTTGACGATTACAAAATCACAGCAGCTCTCCGTGAATTCACCATAATCGCAATTCAATCCACGGCTTTACATTATCATCAATAGTTTCATCATCACCAACATCCGTCGCTCAACATTGCCACCGACACACCAAACTCGGGAGCGAACTCCCCCAAAGCACGTGGAGGAGGATCGTGGCAAAACCGGGGAGCGAGGAGAGGGCGATCTCAAAAAAAAACAAGGCAGCACGCTTAATGGCCACCAAAACAAAAACACAACAGAACGAGCCAATCACAGCAGCCTGGCCCTCCCCTCCCCCCGCCTCTCTCTCCCCGTCCCGCCGCAGCAAGACGAGCGAACCGGGGGTCATGCTTCCCACGCTTGCACGCTCGTGTGTGTGTTTATTATCCGCCCTCTCGCTCGTGTACCGGCAAAGCCATGGAACATTCTACGCGGAGGGTTCCCCACCGCGGGCCAAACAGAAGGCGCTTGCCGCCGCATCTCCTCCTCTCTCTGTGTGTTCATCTCGTACGCCGTGTTGCCATTCACATGTCACATGTGGTGGTGGTGGTGCTCGCTAACGGCACTTGACACAACAGTCTGTGAAGGCTATACGGGAAGGTATTTGTCGTCTCGGACAGGGGGCTTCCGATCCACTGCTGAGAGACGACGGCCCCCGCCGAGTTCGATTCTCGCCCACGACCAATAACAAATACGGTGTTCGAACCGGTCCTAGGCCTCCCACCTAACTCCCCACCCTCAACCAGGCAAAGGTTAGCACGGCCTTAAAATTGCGTTTCCTGGTGCTGGTGGGTAAACATCAGCAAATGGAGTGACAGGTGGCCCAGGGGTGGCGTTGTCGGTCGTTCCGGCCTTCCAAAAAGCACTTGCCCCAACAGCCTGTTAAAGAGCCACACGGGGGGATCTCGCACTGCGCTGCATGTCTCTCAGGACGAAACGAGGGGCCTAACATTGTCCGACGTTTTCGTGCGGCCACGCGTGCCCTGCTCGGTTATATATGCTGCCGCCGTTGGCTGCGATGTCATCTCCCCGTGGTTTTCGTTTGAAATGCAGGAAAGGGGGGGGGGGGTCGATGCTGGTGGTTACGATGGATGTTTACTCACGCACGCACGCGCTCGCACGCACCCCCAGTGCTCTCCTTGCACAGGCGAGTCGCACTCGGACAGCACCATCAACCGGATAGCCAGCCGCTGGCTGACAAGGCTTATTCTGCCAGCCCATCAGCCAGACAGACAAGCTGACCACACGGCTAACTCGGCGACCGAAACGCGCAAACCAGACGGCCAACTGCGCTGCCAAGCTGCTTAAAGCCCAGCCAGCTATCAAGGCAGTCAATTGAGACGGTCAGCTGGCGGCTACTCTGCCAGCCACTCATCCAGTCAGGTATCCCAGCCAGGGACTCAACCCCGACTAGCCAGGCAGCCAGTTAGTTATTCGACCAGTCACACAACTAGTCAACCAGTGACCCAGTCATTCGACAAATCAATAACACCACAAAGATAAAGATCCCCCATATAACCTTAACAAACTCTGTAAGCAAGTGCTGTTAGCGAGCACCTATGAAGGCCGGAACGACACCACCCCCGGCCGCATTGTCTCCCCAGGAGCGACGTTTACACACTGCACCAGGTAACCATTTGAGGCCCAGTTGACCTAGGGGAGGCCCAGGGCCGGTTCAGATAATCGTCACTGGTATTGGCCGTGAGCGGCAATCGAATTCTGGTTGACAGGTTCGTAGCGCAGCGCGGTAACCGCTGCACTACAGCTCCCCCCGTGAATCACCACGCACACACACACACCTCCAACACGTCAGCCTCACCACACGCACACACACACACCTCCATCACACCAGCCTCACCACACGCACACACATCCATCACACCAGCCTCACCACGCACGGCCGCGGTGACCATAAACATGGTTACACAAATCACCATCCGCCATACCACCATTCCATCGTACCACAATATCACCCCACCACCGTACACACTCGACCACAACACCATCGCACAACCAAAACACCGTACCACCATTTCATTATGCCCAACCCCCTAACCATCACACCACTCATTGTGCCACTCTCCCAGAGTATCATCCCGCACCGCACAACAAAAGCCACCGTGGCGACGACAACACAACGGCCCCGGAACGAGCGGCACACGGGGAGATGAGATGAGCCGAGCAAGAGAGAAGAAGGGAAATGATGGGAGGAGGAGGGGATGAAGACGCGTGCGCATTACCTTGCACAGCAGAAGCAGCAGCAGCATCCCTGGACGTCACTCGCTCAGCGGACAACGGAGCAGCGTGGACGTGTGACAGCTGGCCTTCTCAAAACCCCTTTGTCCAAGACGAGCTCATTGGCCGGACACCGTCACCCCCCCCCTCACCACCACCAACCACTCTCTCCCCGAACTGGCCGGCCACCCGGGCCAGCCACCAAGCTAGTCACCCAACCAGCTAGGAAGCCAAGTCGGTCGACCCCAGCCAGTCAGTTGGCCACCTAAAGCAACCGGCCACTAAGGCGGGCAGGAAAATGTTGGCAGTCAGATAGCGAGGCGATCGGCCTAGCAGCTTAACACTCAGACAGCCAGTCAGTCGACCACCCAGCCAGTTAGTCACCTAGCCAGCAAGGTAAAGTCACCCAGCAAGCCACTCAACCGGTCAGCTAGCCAAGCAGAGTACCAGCTAACCAACACGTCAGCCAGCTACTCAGTCAGATACTGAGGCAGTCAGTCAACCAATCATTTACCTTGCTAGCTAACTCACCCAGTAGGCCAGTCACCCAGCCACCGAGCTAGTTAATGCCACAACCACCGAGATCGCTACCCAGTCAGCCCGTGGCTACGGGACGCGGGCAAGTGCTGTCGAGGTGCCGGGGTCGTCCACACACCAACCCCCTCGGCACGCAGCAGCAGCAGCAGCGAACGTCGGAGAAAAACAATCAAAAATCCCAACGCAGCGAGCGGCCGATAGATCCGATCCTTGTGGAGGAAGACGGCGGTGTGGCCGGGGTAGAGGGGGGGGGACTGTCGAGCGAGACGAATATCTCCTGTGGAACGGCACGGCGCAGGATGAAGAGAGAGACGCACGCGGAGGGAGACGTGTGGTCGTAGAGCTTGTGTTGTAGTCGTAGTAGGCAGGCGGGCAGCAGGAGGAGGAGGAGAGCGCCAGTGTGCGTGCGTGCGTGCGCGAGAGAGCGAGTCGTGTGAGCGTTACGCACAGCCGAGGGACCGCGGGGTGGGGAGCGAGAGAGGGGGGGGGGCGAAGAGGCGGTGGTGGTGAGCCGCAGTGGCAACAATGCGAGTGAGCAACAGTCGATCGGGTGGGGAGGGAATGGTGGGGAGGAGGGAGGCGGCACGACATTGCAGAGTGGGAGGGAGCAGAGAGGGGGAGGGGAGAGGGAGGGGAGAGGGGGAGAGGGAGGGGAGAGGGGGGGAGGGAGGAGGGGGTGGGAGAAAGAGGGGGAGGGAGGAGAGAGTGGGAGGAGACAGAGAGAGAGGGGAGAGGGAGGGAGGAGATAGGGGGTTGAAAGAGAAGGGGGAGGGAGCAGAGAGTGGGAGGAGAGAGGGGGTGAGAAAGAGAGGGGGAGGGAGGAGAGAGTGGGAGGAGACAGAGAGAGAGGGGAGAGGGAGGGAGGAGATAGGGGGTTGAAAGAGAAGGGGGAGGGAGCAGAGAGTGGGAGGAGAGAGGGGGGGAGAAAGAGAGGGGGAGGGAGGAGAGTGGGAGGCGACAGAGAGAGAGGGAGGGAGGAGAGCCACACGCACGCAGCGAATGGGAGCGAACGCCGGGTCCAAAACGAGCAAAGCGGGCACAACCAGCTCGATCCGGTTGGGCGAGTGCCGCGTGAAAGCGTGGGAGGGAGGTTCCCCAGGTCCATGTTGTTCAACGTTGAGTCGGGACTGACGAGGAGGCGGCTGACCGCCTTCACAACACCACCCCTGAGCTCACCAGCGTGACATCCACGCAGCCGCCAACCCCAAAAAAACAGCGACGCAGTCAGTGTTCGAGCGCACTGCCCGCCCTGCGAAGCGGACAGACCCGAGTTTGAATTCCTGGTCAGGGGGGCTCACATCATCGGTGGCGAGCGATGTCAGAATCGTCCACCACTACAACCACCACCAAAAGACAAAGATCTCTTCCCGCCCCCCCCCATTACCTTATAGCAGACTAGGGGCAAGTGCTGTTAGCGAGTGGCAGCACCTATGAAAGCTGGCGCACGGCGCAAGCGGGGGGGGGGGGGAGACCAGCACCACGCAAGGGCGCATCGTGTATCCCCCCGTGGGGATGTTTACACGTTGCGCACACGACTCATGTGTCAGGCTGAGTCGAACTCGCGGGAGGCCCAGGACCGGTTAAGATCATCGTCACTGGTGTTGGCCGTGAACAGCAACTGAGATCTGCTTTGGTCGCCGAGTTCGTAGTGCAACGCGCTAACCGCTGCGCCACCGCTCCCCACAACAACAATAACAACCTTGACCACCAATAGCCGCCATTCGCCACTAAATGACGGTGATGTCACCACGGCGCCTTGAGGCCAAGTGAAGCGTCGAAGGCTGACAGGTCACGGGACAGACCCAGGTGGTGACAATGGGTTGACTGACAGAGATGACTGGCAGATGCACCACCTGTGTCACCCCCTACCGTGCCAACTTGAGGCCCACCACAATCTTGACCACCACAAAATCTTGACCACGGCCACGCTCAAATCAGCTGATAACTCACAACAGCGTCCTTGCCCCACATCTCCAATGAGCGCGATTGGCTACGTCTGGTACTAACAGAAGTTCAACATACAGAACGTACATTCAACGGGACAGACACAGGTGCCCATGGGGTTTGACTGACTGAGATGCCTGGCAGATTGCACCCATCCTGTGTGCTACCTACTGTGGGGCCGTCCATAAATGACGTCACGCACCTAGGGGGGGGGGGGTCAGACATTTGTGACGATGTGTGACGAAGCGGGGGGGGGTTTGAGAAATGTGACGTCACATCAAAATGCGCAACTTTAAATCAATATAGACAACACGTTCTACTTAATTAAATAGACTTTTTAATGTTTTCTCCTGCAACATCAGAGTGCAGCGCTACATTAAATACTCACTACAATGACAATAGTTGAGTTTTATTCTTTTTTTGGGGGGGGGGGGCAAAGTTTTGTGACGTCATATTTGAGGGGGGGGGGGTCTGACTTTTTGTGACGCCATGTGACGACGGGGGGGGGGGGGGGTCAAAAATCGGCCAAAACCGCGTGACGTCATTTATGGACGGCCCCTGTGCAAAAGCAGGTACAAAGCACGGACTGACTGGGTCACAGAGGGCATGTGCCATCGGGCCTGGCAGATGGGTTTTAGTTTTTCAAGAGGGTGAGTCGGGGGTTTTGTCTTAAACAGGACTTTAGATTCACGGCTTTTATTGACGCTTTCCCTAACCATCTGGAGGCGAATAGTACAAACAATGGGCTCGTCTGCTGGGGCTGGTTGAATAACAGCAATCATTATTGGTAAGTTTGCAAGTATCTTTTGAATCTAATACGATGTCCCCCCCCCCTCCCTCACACAAACCAAGATTAGATATTTGTTTGCTACATCTACAGATGTATATTCTTGGTTCTTTCGGTAAAGTCACGTAGAAGGGAAATAATAAAATAATAGTAGTATAAAACTATATTGTTATATATTAATATTATTATAGTAATAATACAAAAGATTTTCTTATATTAAATTTATTTTATTATTTCCCTTCTACGTGACTTGTTTTATATTTTTATTATTTTAGCATTTCCCTTCTACGTGACTTTACCGAAAGAACCAAGAATATGAATCCCTGCGGTCACGAAAGCTTTCAATCAAGATCTACAGACGTGTTGACCGTGAGTATGACAGTACTTGGGTCAATTAAGACGTGAAAGGTTTTCATTTGAACACTAAGAAGGCCAAGGCCAATCCCACAGTTGGTTCAGGAACCACACGAGCTCGCTGGCCCCGTCTCCGCAGATTTCAGAGGACGCGAGCGAATTTAACTCTCTTAACTTGACGCAAAGGGCAACGCTTACAAAAAACTGGGGAAAAAAAGGTGTCAGTTTTGTTGCCAGATAGAAGGGTAAAAAAACCAATTGTCATATTTTTTACTGGCAAATGAGGTTCCAATGGTGAAAAAAAACATAGTTGTGGCTTCTGCAGATTTCTTCTCGAGTCGTACATTATCTGATGAGACGGATATGGCTGTGGTGCAACAAACATTAAATAACGAAACGAACAAAACTCACATTCATCAATAACTGTGGGCTTAAAAAGGAAATGTGCATATATAATAGGAGGCGTTTCGGGTGACAGTCCTTCACAGTGCATACTTATCTTCTTGGTTCTTTCGGTAAAGTCACGTAGAAGGGAAGTAATAAAATAATAAAAATAAAACATAATAAAATAATTCTCACGACGTTTCGGCCACAACGCAAGCAGCTGTCCTCAAGTGTCTTTCCGACAGACCTGTTCTTCACCTGAGGACGGCTGCTTGCGTTGTGGCCGAAACGTCGTGAGAATTATTTTATCATGTTTTATTTTTATTATTTTATTACTTCCCTTCTACGTGACTTTACCGAAAGAACCAAGAAGGTGAATCCCTGCAGTCACGAAAGCTTTATACCGAAATTTAGTGCATACTTAATTTAAACGTGCTATGAGGAAGGGCCGTTGCCTGAATCGTCACCTATTATATTTTTTCCTTTCAAGGCCACTGTGTTACACTGACGAAGCGTGTGTAGAGTTTGTTTCTGGAGTTACACCGTTTGTCAAGTCATCGATTCTTATAGCTCACTATCGGATACGTAAAAACACGGTTGCCACCTCCGAGATCCATAGACTCACACACAGAAACCCACTCTGTTTGTTGTCCTTCCCTCGGACCTCCGATTAGCATGATTGGCTACGTACGGTACAAGAGAGGTTCAACACACACACTCAGGTGGTGTTCCGATTCAGATGGGTTGTATTTAAAGGGGTCGCGTGATCCCCCTGCAGCCGCTACATTAATCACAGTACACATAGTGTATTTTATATTTTTTGAAAAAATGTTTTGACTCAAATCATCACCTTGAAACGTGACAATTAATTCAATCACAAACGGGTGAATCATTCAAGGCCCCCCGTATAAGTGGCGGTGAGATAAATATGAAAAACACTCGGAAGGCCTGGGTCGTAGCCTTAGTTCTGACCTGGCTACAGAGAAAGGCCACGCAACTTAAGAAACTGGCTGGCAGAGTTGGGGCTTCCGCAGATTTCTATTCGGATGATCTTGGCCGAGGAGAGGGGGGGGGGCAAGGAGGGGGGGGGGCGATGAGGGGGGGGGGGGTACTGGGCGTGACCATCTGCTCTGACGTCGCAGTCACCTCGGGTATGAGCGGCGATAATAGAAAAATCTGTAAACTTCCCACGCTGCCAGCCATCATACCCCTCCGCCAACTGTTTCGCCCTGCTAATTGTAATCCTGTTATCGCAGTCATCGCAGTCATCGTCGCACCAATTAATATTTATACCACGCGTCTGCCATGCCTTACATCTCGCGGTGCGTCAGCCACCGCCACCACTCATGGCATCTGGGCCCCCCGCCCGGGGTGGCAGCTGTCTCTGTGCGGGCACTTGGGGTTAAAACACGCGGCATCGGCATCGTCCTGCAAATCGGGGCCTTCGTCTGACAACAGGTAGCGACGTTGCTTTGTGTTACGCCAACTGAGGGCGAGATGTTAACTACCTCGCCTGGTATACAGAGGTTTTGTGGGTTCAATCCCGACCCTGACCGCCTGCTGTATATTTGCAGTTGGCGGTGTCTCTCTCTCCCTCTCTCTCCCCGTGGTCGCGTGGATTTTTCTCAAGGTCCTCCAGGGGTTTCTCCCCTTCACATTTGGACTAAACATCAAGCGTTTAAGAGTATTTGGCAGCTATAAATTTCCACGTGATGATACGCCGCTTCTCAAAAAAAGCGACATAGCTAAGTAAACAAACAAGAAAAGAGTAGTTTGTGAGTAATTTAGCAACGTTGGGCCGTGACACCGGCATGCATGGCCCAAGTCGTGGAGTACTTAGACATGGATCTAATTTTACGGTGACTACACCCCGCCCACTGCAGTATTAACCAGGGTGGCCACCGAGCTGA